CGGGCGGGGCGCGTTCCCAGGCAGGTCCTAGCGGAGCCCTGGCGAGCCAGACCGCGCAGCCGCTACCGGTGCTCCCGGGAAGAGCACGCTCCGAGAACCCCAAGCAGTAACTCCCCAGCCTGGGCGCCAGGACAGCGACGCCCCGCCCTCCCTGCCCCCCCACCGACAGGGGCGGAGATGGGGTCGCGGGACGCCTTTCGTTCAGTCCCTTTCCAGTGTTGGAAACTACTGGCCCCTGGGGACCTGTCCCACCGCGCAGCCGCTACCGGTGCTCCCGGGAAGAGCACGCTCCGAGAACCCCAAGCAGTAACTCCCCAGCCTGGGCGCCAGGACAGCGACGCCCCGCCCTCCCTGCCCCCCCACCGACAGGGGCGGAGATGGGGTCGCGGGACGCCTTTCGTTCAGTCCCTTTCCAGTGTTGGAAACTACTGGCCCCTGGGGACCTGTCCCAGCCGGCGAGGGTGACAGGTTCTCCTGCTGGAGGAGCACCAAGCGGGTCTCCTCACCCCGACTCCCCTCCACCCCCAGGCTGCCTGGGCTCTGGGGTCTAACACACTCCGGAGACTCCCAGGATGTTCAGCTCCTGGAATACAGGATGTGTGGGAGGAGCCGTCTATTTTGGGGTGGACGACTTCACCTTGGGGTGCCCCAGCGACCATGCTCCACTGAATATACACCCGCGACTGATGGGGGGACCTCAATCCGAAGGGGAGGCGGGATTTACAGTCTCTAAACCACGCAGAACCCAAGCCTGCTGTGGCTGGCAGGTTGATCCGGAAAGAGAGATCTTGGGGAGATGGAAGGGTGCTGGAAGGTGCTGGGAAACCTCAGGGGAAGACACCAGGGTGAGAAGGGACAGCACCGGAGCTGAGGTCTGTCGGGTCCTGGCAGATGACCTCCAGGGCTGCTGCCAAATCGAGCGGAAAGCATGCCCCTGGGCCACTGTCAAGGTCAAGTCCTAGCGCCCCCATGGCGCCCCCTTGACCCCTCATGTCTGTCCAGGGGACCGCTTGACTGTGTGAGGATTTGCCACCCGGGGGTCCTCGCTTTGAAGAGGAGGATGTGTCCTCGTCCCTTTGCCAGTGAAAACTCTGTATGTCTGCGCAGTGGTGAGCGCGCCTCCCGCCTGGATTATCCAGGCCTAGTCTCACAAGCCCAGGAGAAGCCCCTCACTTCTAACTGCTCACAGATCCCTTTTCTTCATTTCCACCCACCCACAGCGTGCCCACCCGGCCGCCGGAGGCCCTCAAGGTCCAAAAGTAAAGGCGGCTGAGCTACTGGGGACGAGACACAAGGACCCCCACCACGTGCAGCCAGGGAGGCCCAGAGCACAGGTGAAGAGCGTGCAGAGTACCCCGGATGGGCAGTGTAGGCCTGAGGGAAGTTTGAACTTCGAAGCCCTCGAGAGCCCGGTACTACAGTGCCCTGTGCCTGTCGCCCTGTGTCGTGGTCACTTGATCTTCCAGCGTCGCTACGAGAGCCTGAATGCTGAGCTGGCCCAGAAACGCGTCGGAGGAAGGTGTCCGAAGGGAACAGAGATTTTTCGTCCACATCAGATTGTCCTTGAGCCGACTTGAGCTCCTTGCCTGTGTATTCGGGGCTTTTTTTCTGAAACCAAAACTACACCCCAGATGGTGGTTTACTTTCTCCCTTGCTGTAACCGGCCACAGGTGCATGAATTCCCACTGGGATTTTCCCAGTTCCCGGTCGACTTTTGTTACAGGCACTCAGGGGATTTACAGGCTGCAGTCCGGTCCCCAACCCCCCAACCCCCTGCAAGACGGGCGCCTCCTCGCAGCTGGGCAGAGTACTCCCTTAAAGACCCACAGCCCTTGAGACCCCCCGGAAACCGGGCTGAGTTCTGAGGCGGGGAGGGGTAAACCGTAAGCCCCCATCTGGGTCCTAAGCCAGCTGCCGCTTAGCTCCCCTAATGTTTGTCTGCAAGAGTCTGCCACTTCCTCTTTCTTAGAAATTTAGGTCCAAGTTACTGGAATGGTTTTCCATTTGATGAGAAATAAGAATGGTGCCTGGGGTGTAGCACCATCTTGGTTACATTTCTATATCAGGCTTTTCAATCATCTCCAGAAAACTGTTCTCTGACCTCCATACCAGTATTGTTACATACACAAATATACAGGCAAACAAATAAATGTAAAATAGTAGAATAGAGCTAGACACAGTGGTGGACACTTAACCCTAGTCCTTTGGAGGCTGAGACGGGAATACTGCAAATTCAGTCTCAAAAAAAAAAAAAACGGTAAAAACAGAAAATACAACTACAGAGGGGCTGGAGAAACGACTCAGCAGTTAAGAGAACTGACTGCTCTTGCAGGGAACCTGGGTTCAGTTCTTAGCATCCATGCAGTAGCTAAAAACCGCCTATAACTCCGGTTACATGGATCTGATGCTGTCTTCTGGCCTCTGTGGGCACTGCCTGCATGTGGTACACTTACATACATTCAGGCAAAACACTCATACATATGAAACAAAAGTAAAAAATCATTATTAAAATGAAAAAATAACGACCACTATCACCTGTGGGGGCTAGACTTCTTAAACCTTTGCTTGTCTGGAATTCAGCATACCATAGGGTTAACTTCCATTATTGTGAGAATTAAAATATCCATTCATCTTGAAAATGTTACTGTACAGAAGCTTCTTTTCAAAGTCTGTTTCCTTGATGAGAGAAGCAGCCCACTGGAGTAAAAGAGGCGTGTTTTCTGTTTCCTGTGGAAGGCAGCATGGCTGTGGGAAGGCACATTGTGAGCCTAGCTCCAAGTAGCAGCTGCCACTGCTAAGCTGCAATGGTCGTAGTCTAGATTCCGAGTATCTATTACTGTGTTTGCAGTATTTGACTAGTCTCTTTTATTTTTATTTATTGGAAGAGCAGGGTCTCATTGAGCCCAGGCTGTCCTCGAACTCCTGACCCTCCTGCCTTCATTTCACAGGCTGGGAGTATAGATATGCACCACCAGACCTAGCATGCCAGTCTCCTACTCCTGTTGTTCAAGGTGTTTCCAGCATTCTCCTTAGTGTGTACAAGTTCAGCTATTTCCTTTGAGTGGCTTGGACTCTCTAAAACCCAATATGTGTGTTCCTTTGCTTGTTTTGGGAGCTTGTCTTGCCTCAATTTCCAGAACACTGGAATTACAGGCATGTACCACCAAGCCCAGCTTTAACTCCAATATTTTGTTTATTGCTGTATTCAAAATGGTAAGTCAAAGACTAACAGGGAAGCCTCAGGGGTGTAAACATTGCAATTGCCTTTTACTCTTCTAGACATGATGAAACCAAAGTCCAGTGGAAATTCCTGGAGGGAGCCTGACAAAAAGAATCTTCAGCCAACCTCCTGAGATAACCTACATCAAACACTTTCCTTTGCTGCTGTTTTGTTATTGTTGATTATGTTTTACAGAGTTGGTTTCCATTACTAACAATTTTTTTAAGCCAAATAGAAGAAAAACAATTATTGGAAAAGCACACATTATGCTGCAGAGTTGGTTCATAGCCTAACATGGAGGGATGGCTTGTGGATCAAGAGAAAGCTGAGTGTGTTCACTCCCTCAGTTAACCCTGCCATCTCCAGGTGAGTGGGAACTGAATGAAAAGGACCAAGCCTGGGGTTGTGGTACATGCACAGTTGTAATCCCAGTATCTGGGAGTCTGACACAGGAAGACTGCTGTTTAAGGCCAATTTGGGCTACATAGTAAGAAATGGGCCAGCCAGGGATACATAGCAAAGCTTGTCTCAAAAAACAAAAATGTTTAAAAAATTTTTTAAAATAGGGTCATTAAGAGCACTTGCTGCTCTTGCAGACGACCCAAGTTCAGTTCCCAGCACCCATGTGGGGTGACTCACAGGTTCATAAAGCTCACAACCAAGCATAATTTCAGTTCCAGAGGATCTAATGCCCGCTTCTAACCTCTGCAGGCACCTGATGTATGTGCATGTGCGTGCGCACACACACACACATACACACACACACACACACACACACAGAGACAAATATTTTTAAATTAGTTAATTAAATATAAAAAACAAAATGAAAGGACCTGTTTGCTTGCCTTCAGAGGCTGAGAAGTAAACTTGCAGAGAGGTCTAGCTCTGCTCATAGGAAGGAACTGAACAGTGCTCTTAGTTAAAAGAAAGGAAAGGGCCAGTGCATGGAGCTCAGCATCAGAGAAGAAAACGGGGACTTGGCTGAGGGGGTGACCCTGGAGCTTGGCTTCATGAAGGCAACTGTTCGTGTTCTCAACTTCATCTTCCTCTCAAAGGACAGAGCTGGAGGTGCTCATCACCTGCTGAGACTCCATGGGTTCCTCCAAGCCCGGCTGCCTGGAAAGAAGGGACTGAAGTACAAGACATCACTTGGTCACTCGTGGGTGTAGCAAGGGAAGTCCCACTTACTCTCAGGATAAAGATTGGGTCCCCATCTAAATTAGGAAGGGTGAATAAAAAAAAAAAAAAAAAAAAAAAAAAAAGAAAAAACAGGTTAAAGAGTTCCATGTGAGGTAGGAGGCTGTTAAAAGACCCGTCCAGCAGGAGACTCCCCATGACCACTTACAGTCCCTTCTCTAAGAATGGAAAATCACCCTTCCCCCATCAGTTCCTCTGTACGTGCCCCTATAGTAACACTTTTTACTTTTTTTTTCATTGTGTGCAGAATGATCATCTCCCCTAGTAGTGCAGTACTGAGGTCTCACTGCTTGTCTTCCATCCCCAGCATCCGTGAGGGAGCCTCACCATCTTGGCACATGCTCAGCAAAT